TGGAGGGTGCTGGAAACTTCTTCCTTTAACCTCATTTAGTAAGAAAACATCATTCAGGACATATCTAGCAACAGGAAGCACGAACGCCACGTCCCAGGTGGTGGTAGAGGCCCTTCCCACCACGGTGTCCTTCCCCCGGGGGGGGGGGTGGAGGGGCAGGGGCTGCTGCTTCCTCTGACCCTGACCGGCTTCTCCCCGCTCTTGACGAACTTCCTCTATGGTTTCAAAGCTGCTCAGAAGTGGGGGGAAAAAAAAACTCCGTAAAAAAAGAAAAAGAAGGAAGTAAGGACCCACAAGGAGGAACTCACAGGGAAGGAGAAGTTATGCTTTCTTTTTTTTTTTTTTAAAGATTTTATTTATTTATTTGAGAGAGAGAATGAGAGAGAGAGAGAGCACATGAGAGAGGGGAGGGTCAGAGGGAGAAGCAGACTCCCCGCCGAGCAGGGAGCCCGATGCGGGACTTGATCCCGGGACTCCAGGATCATGACCTGAGCCAAAGGCAGTCACTTAACCAACTGAGCCACCCAGGCGCCCTATGCTTTCTTCTTAAAAGAGCATTTGGGTCCTGCTCTCCCCACTTCTCTGCCTCCACTAACTCCTGGCTACGATGTATGCTCGAGTGAGCACGTGAGGAGCTGTCCCAGTCTAGAGCTGTTTATGGGCACAGGGGCTTTGGCACCAGGCTCCTAGTGGAAACACATTTGCTGGAAATGCTATCCTGCCCCAGTGGCTAACTTACAATTTCTGTCTCTCTCCCTACCCCAGACAGTGGGTGTAAGAGGCAAGTTTTGCTTCACCATTTTCATGGGAACCCAAGGGGCAGTTTCCAGAAGTGTGCGTGTGTGTGTGTGTGTGTGTGTGTGTGTGTGTGTGTGTGGTGGGGGTGGTGTTCAGGACAGACCACAGATGCCTACTCCAGTGCATTCTCTTTGATGATGCCATGAGGGTAACAACCCAACCACAGAATCTCCAAAGACATAGGGGTCATTGAATAGCAACAGTAAGACACTGTGGGAAAAGCAGTTGCCAATACCTTGCACCCATTTGGGCCAGCTGGTGAAGCTGCTGGGCTCTGGCTTTGCACCCCAAGAGCTGCTTGTCACCCGAGTCTGGTCGCATCTTGGGGAGGCTGGATCCAGGGAAGTAGTCACAGAGAGGGACCTTTGGAGCTGGTGGACTATGGACCTTGGTCCCCAAACAGGGTGAATCAGAGGCTCTTAGTCTGGCTCAAAGTTTATCCTCTCTGAGCACAGTGGAATTTTCAGGCCCACCACTGACCAGAGCCCTACACCAAGTGAAAGTGGGAGAAAGTTTCTCATTGACTGAAGGACAAAGAGAGGGGACTCTTGCTTCCCCCTGGGGAGAGGAGGTTCTGGCTACCATGCTAGGCACAGGGATTCCTGTCTCCTTTATCCCCCGGTGAGGCACGTTCCCATGACCTCCTGAGGCTGAGAACTATGGCCTACGTATGAGGACAAATAACAGGGTGGGCACATCCTCCCAGGACATTCAGAGGGAAACACTCCGCATAGAACCAAGGGCTGGGGCATGGGGGGAAATGGGATGATGTTGCTCAGAGGGCACAAACTTTCAGTTATAAGCTAGGTTCTGGGTTTAGTATAGTTCATATAGTATGATGACCATAGTTAATAATACTGTGTTGTATACTCGAAATTTGCTAAGAGGGTAGACCTGAAGTGTTCTTCCCACATCAAAAAAAAAAAAAAAGATAAATATGTAAAGTGATGGGCGTGTTAATGAAGTAGGTTGTGGTGTTCATTTCACAAGGCGTATATATGTTAAATCATCACTTTGTACCCCTTTAAAAATCACATTTGCACTAAATATATACAGTTTTATTTGTCAATTATAGCTCAATAAAGCTGCAGGGACAAACAAAGGGAAACATTCCAAACTGGTGTGTTTGTGTGTGTTTGCATGCAGGTAGACACATCTCAAATGGGGCTATTCCTTCTCACGTGAGGTGGCATTCCCTTCGGTGGAAGGACCTATGGCCCCTAAGGCGCAAAGTGGCCGAGTCCACCCAAATGGACAAATGAAAAAAATGTCATTTATCACATTTTTAATTATTAAGATTATTGAAACAAATTAATTATGAGGATTATTAAAATATCATCATGTAGGGGAGGCCACATCATTTCCCTCAGATGGTTTTCCTGACTGCCTTCCCCAACCTTGAAGTAGTTTCTGAGGCCCAACTTGACTGGCTTAAGAAAAAACCCTTATAGATCAGAAGCTCAGACACAGAGCGGGCTGATCTGGTCTCATGAGTGAAGGAGACCAGGGCGTGGGCAGGGCTCCATCTCTCTGTCTCTGTCTGCACCCCTATTGCTTCTTTCTGTGCTTCGGTTGCTCGCTCCATGCCCCAACTTCTTCCAGCAGAGAGGACACGGCTTGGGTCCCACCCCAGCAGCTCCAACCATGAGCCCTGACCCCACGTTGGGTAGGGTGGGGCATTTGCTATCCGAAGGAGTAGGAACAAGTCCAGGGAGCCATGACACCTCAAGAGGGCCCCAAGTTGTGTCCCTGAGCTGTGCAGAGCCGGGAGGGTGCCCGGCCAGCCCTTCAGCACCCCCAGCCTCAGTCACTGCCTCCCGAGGACCCAGAGGCATTTCTTCCACGGCCTGTGTCTCCTCTGGAAATGGGGTCCGGGGGCGGAAGATTCCGCTCAGCCATCCGTCTAAGGGGCTGTGTCTCTGACGAGATCAGAGGACAAGTTCATACAGATGGACGGTCTCTGCTGAGGCCCCTTCAACCAAAGGACAGCACCGACCAATGCGAGCAAGATGGGCACCTTCAGGAACACCAGGAGAATGTAGTAGTGCCTGCAAGAGGGGACAGAGCCGTCAGAGCCCTAGGCGCCCCTGGCCCCGTCACTCCCAGCGCCCTGACAGGGGGGAGCATTGGTCAGCCCCACAAAGCCTGTGACCCTAGGCCTGGCAGCCCCACTCCAAAGACTCCCGTGAACCTGCTCAGTGGCTCAACCATGAGGTCTCCTCGGAAGGAACTTCACCTTGTTGGTTTTGCTTTGCTCTGGGCCCACCTTCCTTTCTACTAATTGCACCTCCTGCAGCTCCCCTTTCCCGAAGTGCGTCTCCGCACCTTAGGGTTGCCCGCGACAGGCTGTGTGCCTTTGCCACCCCGAAAATGCCAGTTCCAGGCGGTTGAGCCACGCTCCTGCCCCGCAGCACCCAGTGCCTCGCACTGTGGGGATTTTGTCTTATCTCCCCTTGGCAAGCTCAAGGTCATCAGGGCTGTTTTTGTTGACAACTGAATTTAGAGAAAGATTCTGCAGAGTGGCTTCCTGGGGAGGGTGGAATGGGGAGATGGGGGGTGAGGGGCAACACAGGCAGGAGCGAGTTGGTGGGGCGGGTGGCTTTGGGCCTTGACCCTGGCTGTGACTGCTCTGGCGTCCCATGAGGGTGCAGACGCAGAGTAGGAGAGGCCCCAGGTAGGGGCAGGGTAAGGACGGGCACCACTCACCTGATATAGGAGTCAGACGGTGCCCCTGCACGGCCGCTGGTGGTTGTTCTAGAGAGCGGGCTCACCCAGGTGCTCAGAATCATGCCCACTAGACACAGGCAGAGTCGACCACAGGTTATCGGGACAGACGGGGCTCGTGGGCGGCTCCCAGGGTCCTGCCCCCGCCCCTTCCGGGAAGCCACCCTGCCGCTGGACTGGGAAGCTGGATATGGTCCCCAGGCTTCTCCCTTTCTGCTGGGTTTTCTTTTTCTTTTTTCTTTTCTTTTTTTTTTTTTTTAAAGATTTTGTTTATTTATTTTAGAGGGAGGTGGAAAGACAGAGGGAGAGGGAGAGAATCTCAAGCGGACTCCTCGTTGAGCACAGAGCCCGACGTGGGGCTCTATCTTACCACCCTGAGATCATGACCTGAGCTGAAACCAAGAAGCAGATGCTTAACTGACTGAGCGGCCCAGGTGCCCTCTGCTGAGTTTTGTGAACCACCACTTAGTCACTTTCCATTGACTCGGGTGTGGCAAGAAGAAATAAAAAGGAAATAGGAGCCTGCACTGTTGCTCTGGGAGGTGCTTCTGGGGAGAGAGATCCATCTTTCCACTTCTCTCCACTTACCCCTCTAGGTGGGACTTTAGCAAGGGGGGAAACATCGCTGGTCCTCAAGCAGTGCCTGAGCTGGGCTCAAGGACATGTGGTTCTGGAAATGGGGTGCCCAGAACCAGAGGTTGATGATGGGTGGGGTGATAAGGGGTGATAAGGAAGAGGAGGAGGACTCCAGAGGGCTGGTGAATAAGAGGGCACATTCTGGTTCAGTTGTGAGCAATGGCTGTGATAAATTAAACATCTTTATGAGAAACTATGAAGACAGTTTGTGGTCGGCTACTTGGTCATGGATTCCTGAGACCAGGTTGGCACTGAGTGTCCATGACCTATTTTTTAGTTGAGTCCTGGGCCTGAGGAGACCCCAGGACAGCCAGAGGGGTCCCTGATATTGGCATAATGATCAAAGCCTTCCTTTCTCCTTACAGCATCCACTGTTACTTGAGCTCCTTCTTGGGTCCCTCTAATTCCTTGCTTGTTCTTATGCTGCCAGGGAAAGTAGTGGGCAGGGCGCCTGGGGGCCCAGAGAGGAGAGGCACTGTCGCATGCCCAGAGCTACTCTGTGTTGGCCAGGTTCTTGGGGTTCAGTGCTGGGACACTTTGGGCTTCCCCAGGTGTCCCCCCTGCCCCTCTCTGTGTAGTGATGGGTCTGGAGTATGACTACCAGCGACCACTTCCTGGAGCAATGCCCTAGGATCCAAGGCATCCAAGGTCCACCTATACCTCTGATGAGAGACTGTGGGGCTGCCAGGGTTGTGGGTCCCCAGGAGAGCTGGCCTGGGCCATGGGCAAAATGGCATGGTGCACGTCCCCACCCCTACCCCAAGACTTGCCAGCCTTGTGTGCATCAGCCAGATACCTCAGGTGACCTCAGGGACTGTGATGGGGACCCTGTTCTCAGGTACTCAGCCATTTCCCTTCTGCCCTTGGGGAGGGGAAGCAGAAGCCCTTGCTCTTTCTGTCCTGAGCATGATGAGAAAGTTCTTACCTGGGTCAATGGTCACTTTGATAGATGTCCCAAGGTCGGGTCCATATCTGCTAATCCCACACCAGTAAGTGTCTGTGTCATCTCGCCGGACATCCTGCATGGTCACCGTGAACAAGAGGTGACTCTGGTTGTCCCTGATGGACACACGGTCTCTCTTCATTACTTGCTCTGATCCATTGGTTTGAACGAGGATCTGGCATGATGTCCAGTCTGCTCCGCGACACCACCACTTCTCGTAAGTCTCCCATTCTGCTGTATAGTTACACTGCACGCTCACCGAGCCCCCTTCTAGACCCCTCATGGACCCTGGGCCTTGGATAGAGAAACAGCCTGGAAAACAGAATCCCAAGATACAACTCCTACCACCTTGAGCCAGGCCTGGCCTGGGAGCCCCATGGGCTCAAGTGGCCCCAGGTTGGTGTCCAGGGACTGAGCCAGGGTCCAGGCCTTTGCAGCCACCTCCTAGCTGACCTGAAAGATCCGCCTCCTCTGTCCAGCTTCCCCATCAGCTCCCGCAGTGATAATGTCCGGCCTCTTTGGTCCTCACTTCCCTGGTCCGGCCCACAGTGTCACCACTTCTGACTTTCTTTTTTTTTTTTTTAAAGACTTTATTTATTTGACAGAGAGAGACGGAACACAAACAGGGGGAGTGGGAGAGGGAGAAGCAGGCTTCCCGTGGAGCGGAGAGCCCGACGTGGGGCTCGATCCCAGGACCCTGGGATCATGACCTGAGCCGAGCCGAAGACAGTAGCTTAACGACTGAGCCACCCAGGCGCCCCACCACTCCTGACTTTCTGACACTGTCTTTCTTGTCTTTGAAACTCTTTCCTCATCCACTGTCCTCCTTCTCTGACTACTCATCTCTGAGGCCTCTACTGATTTCTCTTCCTCCCTCTTTAAATCTTGGTGCAAAAATGGTATGTTGGTAAATACTTAAAAACTAGCCCTCTGGGAAGAAAATCTCCATTTGTAGCATTTTCCAGTTTCTGTAGTGTAAATATTCCCACCCCGGTTGATCTCAGGCAGTCAGTGCAATGTCACTGGACACACAGCTAAGAAGAGTCAGTTCTTGCAAGCCAGTGTGAACCAGCCCCAGAGCACTACAGAGGGAGCCCAGGGGTCCCTCTCCAGTCCTCATTTTGTCCCACTTTATTACACCCCCATGGAGGGATTCTCCCTTCCTCTGATTTTGGTTATTGCCAACATGCTGATGGTTCCCCAAATCCATGTTTGTGGCCCACATTCTTTCCTTAGCTCCAGCCTACTCTTTCCAAATACACACTGTACATCTCTACCCCAAAGTCAATAGTCACAGGACTAAATCCACCCTGAACTTGGTCTGCTGCAGTATTTCCTCTCTCCTTTGGAGGGCTCACATGGTGGACTAGCAAAGGTCTGTGGGGGAGTGGGACAGGTTAGGGACAAGCACAAGTGGAAAGGGTATCATGCTGCTCTGGGGTTTGACTCCAGTCAAGCTGACTGTATGTGGCTGGACAGACACTCTTTGTCCTTGGCAATGACCTCTTGTGCCTTGATCACATGGAACTGAACAAACAGGGAGAAGCAGAGAAACACAGTGGAAGCATCTCCTGACTGTCTTAGTCCAGAGCCTCAGGGTCAGGCCAGGAGGATGGGGATTGTCTCCATGGGGCCGCGGGAGTCAGGTCTGTTGCACCAGGAAGGTGCACCTCCTCACACCCTGTACCTTCTTCCTGATGCTCTTTTAGTTCATTTGAGGTTTGTATTTGTGCTAAGTAGAATTATGCTCCCCAAAGACGTTGACGTCATAATCCCAAGAACGTGTGAGGTGGGGCAATTATCCTGGGTCATTTAGTTGGGTCCGATGTCATCAGAAAGGTTCATATAAGATAAAAAAGAGTTAGTGTCAGAGTCAAAGGGAGAGTGGAAGATGCTACATTGCTGGCGTGGAAGATGCTACGTTGCTGACTTGGAAGACAGATAAAGGGATCATGAGCCAAGGAATGTGGGCAGCCTCTGGAAGCTGAAAAAGGTGAGAAAGCAGATTCTTCCCTAGAACCTCCAAAGGGAATACAATCTTGCCTACAGTTTGATTTTAGCCAGTAAGACCGTTTTGGACATCTGACTTTCAGAACCATAAGATAATAAATTTTGTCGTTTCAGGCCACTAAGTTTATGGTCATTTGTTACCGCAGCCATTGGAAATAAACTTAGTATTCCACCAGCAGAACTAACTCTACTCTCTTCAAACCAACAGCATTACTAGCGCACCTGACAGAGAACTTGGTATCTCCATTGATCCCGTCCTTCTCTTCTCCCTCTACAACTGATTGGTTAGCCATTTAGTCAACTCTACCTCAAAAATGCTTCTCAAAATGATTTCCTTTTTCCCTCCCCTACCGTCACGGTTCATGATGACAGCATGACATAGCAGAAAGAGAGTGAATTTGGACACAGAAGGCACGTCTACCACACACTACTTGGGAAATCTTGGGTAAGCTACTTCACCTCCCTGGGTCTTTCTTCTCTATTTGCAAAATGGCTATGCTACTTTCCACTTTGCAGGTTGTTGTAAGACTTGGGTATGTGTCAAACTGCAGATACTCTTTTGGAATATCAGTGAGAGCCTGTCACCAGGTCAGGAGCTCATCTGGTGTCTGGATCCTGGCCGTAGCAAATCCAGAAAGGCTTCTCCAGCTCCTGTTGCACTCCTTTCTTCAATGTCCTCTGCATGTCACTGCTGGAGTTATGTGCTGAAATTGTCCCCACACTTGTCCTCAGCTGCACTTGTCATGAGCAGGATTTCAGGATCTCTTCGGCAGCCACTCCCCACTGCCTCAGAATGATTTAAAATGCTTTCGTTGGGCATTCAACTTCTTTTTTTCTCCTTCTAGATCCAAGTTCTCTGACCAGCACCATTTCCTGCTCCTCCCTGCTTTCCACTGGACCTTATAACCCACCCCCACTTTTCTCTTCCTCTGAGCCTGATGAGCCTTCCCAGGCGCTATGTCACTGCTCATGTCCTTCCTTCCACCTGGAAACCCTTCTCCGAGCCCACCCTGCCTACTGATCACCTTATTCCCTTTCCCAACTACAATTGCTTCCTCCCATTGCTCCACACCCCTATAGGAACCTGAGTGCCACACTGGTATTTTGTTACTACTACCAGTCTCTCTCTCTGTCTCCCTTACTAGGATGCTCTGTCCTGAAGGGCAGAGACTTTGGGTTTGTGTTCTCTCTCTTCCCCAGCCCCTGTCCCCATGTCTTGCATGGTATCTGGATTCTGGAAGGTACCAATAAAGTTTATGATTGTTTTTGCAAAGGCGCTGGCTGTCATGATCTTGGACATAATAATTTTGATTCTGGCGTGGACTATAATTTCCACACCAGGGGACACAAGTATAAGGCTGCTAATTGCGGTGCTAATGTAACACACAATAGACTCTGGAAGCAAATTCAAACACCATTACCTGGAGATCAGGCTAATAAATTGCCATCCACCCATACCAACATTAAAAGAAGAAGACAAATCACAAATAATAATAGGAAAGATGTCCCAGATACATTACTATTAGGTTTTTTAAAAGTTGCCTAACAGAGTGTTTGGATTCCATTTCTGTGGTTTTTCTGTGGTGCATGCATAGAAAAAATTGAGCACTAAGTGTTGTAAACTCTTAACAGTGGTCACTGCTGAACCTGGGGTTTGGGGTGAAATTTCCCTTTCTAAATCATACATTTCTATTATGTGTAAATGCTTACAATATCATTAACTGATAAAAACAACTAAGAAAAAAATTTTACTAATTGAAAGGACTCAATTAGGAAAAAGATTGCTAAGAGACAGTAATTGATGTCAATGAAAATCAAATACAAGAGTTGGCAGAAAGGGTGGTTTTCTTTCTTAAGACAATAATAGCAACAACACAGCTATGATCCAAAGCTGGGGGCCAGTTAGATGGTATTTTCCAACAATCAGAAACAGGATTAGAGATGTTGCTGCTTCAAAATAGAAGTTTCATCAATCCCAACTTTGCTAATTTAATCTGTCAGTAAAGCGTTCATAATGTGATTTGGCTTGTTTTTGAAAAAATATGTGGGAAGTTTTCATAAACACAGACTGTGATGGGGAGAACTATTAATCAGGTCTCTGTGTTTTGTCGAGAGTTGGTCTGATTGAAGGTGGAGATGCTAGGATGGCAGTCAGCTGGGAGCAAGACTCAGGAACAGGGCCAGTGGGTTTTAAAAGCATAAGGCTGTTTGAATCTCAATTTTTTCTTTCCCTGACTCTGAGATGTAACCTCTCTCCTTCATGTCAATCCTTCGGGAAAGTTTGCCCCATGTGCACCACCCTTGTGTGAATAACCTTGTGTCAAAGTCAAGAAAACAGTTGAGCTCCCTGTCTTGGCTGATAGCAAGGCAACCAAGGGGAGAGCTCAGAGCAGAGGGACTCATGGGGCGTGGGATGTGCAAAGGGGTTGGAGCCCACCTTGTTTTGCACAGATGGGGCAGGCATCCCTGCTGGTGTCCCCACGCAGCCTTGCCAGCTCAACTGCCGAAGAGTAATTGCTGGGGTACAGGTCTGTGCTCCTGTTCCCCCACTTGCAAACACTCACTGAGCACCCATGATGCCAGTGCCCTACCTTCCTCTCAGGGCTGCTGCAGGACTTGTGTGACAGAGCCGACAGGAACGTCCTACTGGAAGCTGGGTCATTCCGACTTCACTCCATCCACTTTCTCTCCTTTTCATTTCACAGAAGTAACCCCAGAGCACCTAAAGGCAGTCTGTTAGTGGGGTGGCTTGTCTTACATCACTGGCTACTTCACCCCCTTCCCTCGTGAACTTGCAGAGGAGGAGGGACACCCTGTCTTGTTTCTGCAGCCAAGCCACCCTGCCCAAAGCCACAGAACAGCCGCTGTGGGTCTCAGCCTTCATCTAGGGGAGAAGACTGTTTGTGTCAGTGTGTGCATATAAGGGACACTGTGTGTGAATGTGCGTGTGCTCATGAGTGTGTGTCTAACTCTATATGAGTGTGTGAGCACACAGATGTGAATGGGAGCATGACTGCATGTGGGTGTGTGCATCTGACTCCATTGTATGAGTGTGTTGTGTGTGGGAGCCCAGGCAGTTCACCCTTCCCCTTGGGCCTCCGGGTGAGCTGGATGTTGGGGTTAAGAGAGGGAGCAGATGGGGGTCTGCAAAGCTAGAGTCCAGGGGGAGAGGCAGACACTCTGAACTCCTGTCCTTTGGGAATTCTGGGCTGTTCAGAGTCCTGCCCAAGGGGCGTAGTGGTCACAGAGAAGCCACTGCCCGCCCCACCCATCTACAGGTATCATCACGGGGCTTCTGTCACTGATAAAATCAGAAATGGCCTTGACAATTTGAGAATGACCACAGCCCTTGTCTATTTACATCTGATCTGAATAGCAGGGTCCCCCAACATTACAGCTAGGAAGGGCATCAGAGACATTCCATTCACATCAGAAATCCAGGTCTTAGAACAAGGAGGGGGCTTGCCCGTGTCATGCACTCTTGTCAGGACTGGAACTCCAGTCTCCCAACTCCCTGGCTATGCCCTTTTTTGGGAACCCCTGTGGACCAGTCTGTTTTGCTAGAAGGTCTGTCTCCTGGCTCATAGAGAAGGCTGTGTGTGACCCACATGCACAGCATACATTGTGCAAACTTTTGGACTGACCCTAATGTCCTCTCGGTGTGTGCAGTAGCTTTCCACAGAGAAGATACATGACCCCCTCCCATCTCCCTCCTGGGTTCCTGAGCACTTTTCTCTTTGAAAGTCTCGGTTCCTGGGCATGGCGTCCAAGGGCCTTCTTAATCTTGTCTTGTGTGTTTCCAATCTCACGGCCAACCAGTCACCCCAAGGCCCCTTGCACACTGAGGGCCCCTGTGCGTGAACGCACCATCCTTTCTCAAGGCTCCATATCTTGGTCAAGCAGTCCTCTCTCCCTGGAATGCTCTTCTCCCTTCTCTGCTTGAAGGGCTGATCCATTTCTTCAAGGCTCATCCAATGGATGGTGTCTGTATGGCTTTCTGTATCTCCTTCAGCCAGACCTGGTTGGGCCTCTGAGCACCCCTCCATCAATCCCTGCCATTGGGTTGCTCTTTATCTGCACGTCTCACCCACTGAGCTGTCTGGGGTCCCCTTTCTAATGGCCGGTCCTGTTCCTTTTTTCCCTTCAAGTCCTCAGGACCTGGTGAATGCCTGGCACAAAGTAAGAACCCAGTGTGCTTTTGCTGAATTAATTAACAAAACCACCTCTCATTTCCCCAGATATGACACCTCCCCTTCTGCCTGGGATAGCTCTTGGTCCCCTGCCCTGCCCCAGGGGGACCAACTCCCCGGAGCCCCCACTGCACTCACCTGGGAGGCTGAGCAGGAGAAGAACTAGCCACAGCCACATGGTCCTGCCTCCCAGGCTCCTTGCCCCTCTGCCGACAACTGGAGAGCACACTCGGATCCCAGTTGGACTCTCACAGCTCTGCCTGAGCCCAAGCTTGCACTTTGTTTGGACTGCCTTTGAATTTCTGACCCACTCACTTCCTTTTGTAAAGTATTTCCTGCTTTTAATTATTCAGCAAATTGAGTGTCATTTCTTGGAAGGGCTGGGGCACAGGACATAGAAGTCGCCGCCACATAGGAAAGAGGAAACCGGACTGTGTGGAGTGAGGAGGGGCAGGGTATGTGTCTGCAACAAGGGCAGAGCAGGGGGCATCTGGCCTACCAGGCTCTGCGTCCAAGGGGTACAATAGTCTGGGTGTCAACTCCAGAAATGTTTCTCTACCACAGCAATGGGTCCCAGCAGCAGGGAACAGCACCTCCTTCCCACTCAGGTGTCACATGAGCAAGTGTGGCATACTTGGAGATGCATTTGTTCAGGTGTTATAACCAAGGGCATAAAAGTGCAGGGTGGAGGATCAGACAGACATGGGCTCTAACCCTGAGCACCACTTACAAGCTGTGTGAGCATGAACAACTTACTGAACTTTTATGAGCCTCAGTTTGCGTATCTGTAAACTGGGTTGTGATGGGAATAACAGAAGAGTTGTTACGGGAATTAAGTGACAAAAAGTGTGTGAAGCTCTGAGGACACAATCCTGGGATCTGTATTAGTGTTCAGGGCAAAACTTCAGATGCTCGATGAAGAGTCGCACAAAATAAGCCCAGAGCAGAAAGCTGAGAGAGAGAAGGCTGATGGACTGGGTTTCCTCATTAGTAATAAGGCAAATTCTAGCCTTAACCTGACATAATTTAATTAGCATCCTGATTTATAACCCAGTAGCTAAAATTCTTAAAGAACAGCTTTGGGAAACAGATGAGTGTCTGGCCTGGTGTCCAGGCCAGGCTGTGGAGGGAGGAGATCTTCCTGGAGGTCCTGAGGTTGGGGACACATTCAAAAGGGAGCTCAGTCCTGTAGAGACGCAAATCATATTACAAATTGAAATCAAAACGTACTGGCATAAAAAAAAATAGATCAGAATTGAGGGGTGCCTGGCTGGCTCAGTTGGAAGAGCATGTGACTCTTGATCTTGGGGTTGTGAGTTCAAGCCCCATGTTGGGTGTGGAGATGACTTAAATAAATGAAACTTAAAAAAAATATAAACATATAGACCAGAATTGAAAGCCTACAAATAAGCTCCCACATATAAAGCCAACTAATATTTGACAAGGGAGCCAAGAATAACCAATGGGGGAAAGTATAGTCCCTTCAAGAAATGGTGAAAGGAAAACTGGAGAAGAATGAAACTGGACAGTTCACAAATATTAACTTAAAATGAATTAGGACTTAAATGTAAGACCCAAAACTGTGACACTTATAGGAGAAAACAGGGGAAAAGCTCCTTGACATTAGTCTTAGCAGTAATTTTTAGATGTGACACCAAAAGCACAAGCAATGAAAGCAAAAATTAGTAAGTAGGACTGCATCAAATTAAAAACTTGTGCACAGCCAATGGAAACAATCAATAAAATAAAATAAAAAGATAACCCACAGAATGGGAGGAAATATTTGCAAATCATATATCAGATAAGGGGTTAATATTCCCAAATATTAAAGAGCTCATACAACTCAATAACAACAACAACAAAATAACAATTCCTATAATATGATTGGTCTCATTTTTTGAAAAATATGTCAGGGGTCCCTGAGTGGCTTGGTTGGTTAGGTGGCTGACTCTTGGTTTCGGCTCATTTCATGACCTCAGGGTCCTGGGATCGAGCCCCGTGTTGGGCTTGGCACTCAGTGGGGAGTTTGTTTGAGGATTCTCTCTCTCCCTCTCCCTCTACTCTCTCTCAAATAAATAAATAAATAAATCTTTAAAAAATAGATTAAAAGCAAAAATATGTGGGAAGTTTTCATAAACACAGACTGTGATGGGGAGAACTATTAATCAGGTCTCTGTGTTTTGTCGAGAGTTGGTCTGATTGAAGGTGGAGATGCTAGGATGGCAGTCAGCTGGGAGCAAGACTCAGGAACAGGGCCAGTGGGTTTTAAAAGCATAAGGCTGTTTGAATCTCAATTTTTTCTTTCCCTGACTCTGAGATGTAACCTCTCTCCTTCATGTCAATCCTTCGGGAAAGTTTGCCCCATGTGCACCACCCTTGTGTGAATAACCTTGTGTCAAAATTGAGAAAATAGTTGAGCTCCCTGTCTTGGCTGATAGCAAGGGGCAAAGGACATACAAAGCGGGCCAAAGACAATCAAGGGGAGAGCTCAGAGCGGAAGGGCTCGTGGGAGTGTGGGATGTGCAAAGGGGTTGGAGCCCACCTTGTTTTGCACAGATGGGGCAGGGCGTCCCTGCTGGTGTCCCCATGCAGCCTTGCCAGCTCAAGTTCTGAAGAGTAATTGCTGGGGTACAGGTCTGTGCCCTGTTCTTCTACTTGCAAATGCTTACTGAGCACCCACTCACCAACTCCTTCACACGGGTTTCCATTCCTCCACATTCTCGCCAATGCTTACTCTCTCTTGTCGTTTTGGTGATAGCCATTCTGACAGGTATGAGGTGATGTCTCATGGTGGTTTTGATTCGCCTTTCCTTGACAATGAGTGATGTTGAGCACTTTTTTACGTACCTATTGGCCATTTATATGTCTTCTTTGGAAAAACATCTATTCAGTTCCTCTGCCCATTTTTTTTTAGGAGAGAGACAGAGTGAGAGAGCAGGAGTGGAGGGGAAGGGGAAGAGGGAGAGGGAGAGAACCTTAAGCAGGCTCCCTGAGCTCAGTGTGGAGCTTGATGCGGAGCCTGACATGGGACTTGAGCTCGTGTTGAATGAGAAAATCATGAGCTGGACCCTTAACCAACTGAGCGACCCAGGCACCCCTCTCTGCCCATGTTTTAATTGGATTGGCCAAATGATACAAACTTCCGATTATAAGATGAATACATTCTGGACACCTAATGCATAGCATGGTGACTACAGTTAATAATATTCTATTATACACTTGAAAGTTGCTAAGAGAGTAGATATTAGATGTTCTCACCACAAAAAAGAAATGGTAGTGATGTGGCATGGTGGCGATCTTAGCTAACCACACAGTAGTAATCAGTTCACAATATATGTGCATCAATTCAACATGCCCTAAATGTTCAGCTCACAAAATATTATATGTCAGTTATATCTAAATAAAGCTGGAAAAAAATAAAAATAAAAGTAAACTTGGGGACTGCTAAAAAATATAAGTTTATAGTTTGAAAATATATATGCGTATATATGGCAAACCCATGAAGAAAACAAGGAGAACATGAATGTAAAATTCATAGTTGGATTTCTCAGAGGGTAGCTTGGGACTTCGGAAATATTAACGATGTTTCTTACTTAAGCTATGAGGTGGGCACCCAAGGGTTGAAGAGTATTCAAGGTTTAAGGAGTAAGCATTTATTGGGAACATTCTTTGTGTCTATGATACACTGCAGAGAAAGTTACAAAAAGGTTACTGAATATTCGGAAAGAAATACGGAAAATAGCCGGATGGATTGGTCAAAAGGCCATTCCTAACCATCAGACGTGTTGTGTTCCTGGACAGGTCATCAGTGGGCAATTGGTGTTACTGGGTTCAAGATGACGCCACCTCCCCCCAGAGCCCGTCTGAGTCCTGTTCACTCAGAGGACAGCACTGAGCATGCTCAGGAGCAGGGGCACCTCCAGGAAGACCAGGAGCCAGAAGTAGATCCTGCTGAGCAGGGACCTCTGGGGGCCACGGTGACAGGCAGTGAGCCACATCCTCAGGGAGACGCCCTGGTACCCTCCACAATCCTTCTGTCCCTGTGCCCATGTCCTGAGGCTACAACAGTCCATACACAGATCAGTCCCTGGAGGTTCCATGGGCGGGGCAGCGCCACACAACAGACCACGCCTGTGACCCTCAGGCTAACAATTGCCCTTGAGACAGGACTATGGACACGAAGAGGGCCTGGCTATTGGAGTGACAGGAAGGAGACCCCAGGGAGCAGGCAGGACCTGGGCCAGGAAAAGGGTTCTACCTAAGTCCTCCCCATTGGGGGTTACCCTGTCTGAGGACCAGAAACCAGTGCTGGGTTGTTTGTCTGATGTCTGCTCCCCACGAACAGTGTTTCCCACGAGGGATCAGAAATGTGTGCTTTAGTCCCAGGGAGGCTCTGGCACCTGTGCGGTGCCTCCAAAAACCTTGACCTGAAATTCAGTGGGTCATGATGGAGGGAATGAATGACCGCACTGACCTCTCCTCTCCCTTTGAGGCCTGGTCTTCAACAGGATGACTCTCTGGCAAGGGCCTGGGGTGAAGGGGGAGCAGAAAAGAGAGCCCAGGGGCCCTCAGAGCACCTGGTTGACCTGGGCCGGGTCCTGAGGGCCCCCGTTGCAAAACACTTGCACTTGCTCTTCCCTGTCTCTGGATCCCAATATCTGTAGATACCTGAGTGATGGCTCCCCAATCCTACAGGTCCCCAGGGAAATGTCCCCTCACCGGCCAGGCCTCCCTGATCATTGTGTATTAAATAGCAATCCCACCACCCCGAAACTCTCCCACACATGCTCTCCCCGACCCATGTGTACTATAGCCTTCAAGCATTCATCACAAACCGGCATTACTTCTATTGATGAATGTGTTGACTTCTTCACTGTGTGAATTTGCCAACTATGGTCAGAGCAGGATTGTGTCTAGGTGGCCCAGGGCTGTATCCTTAGAAGAACACCTCGCACTTGGTAGGACGTCCACAACTCGGTGTGCAGTTGGTAAATAAGTGAGGGACCTAGGCCAAGAGAGTCACGCCCACATTCCTCAGCCCTCTGTGTTGCCTAGAAATGACCCAGGTGTCAAAGGTCTCCAGCTGCTAGCCCCTTACCCAGGATATTGACTGGGATTGGGGGACTCCTTTGGGGTCCTGGTGCTCCACGTGGGGGCTGGCAGGGTCCTGTGAAGACCTGGGATGCTGGTGGGCCTCACGGAGCTGGGGCCTGCAGTGAGGATTGAAGGAGAAGCCTGTGTCAGACTTGCTTCCTCCCCCGGGCTCTCCCACTCTCTGT